AATGAGAGAGAAAATGTCCTGACAGTTAAAGAGATGTCAACTCTCCAATCCCAACCAACTACCAAAATAACTGCCAGCTACTTACTATACAACTCCCAGCTACTTACTATTCCTCTTCCTCCTAGAATACACTTTAGCATACTACCTCCGTCCCAAAATACTTTGCCAAATTCAAAACTTTAACCAATTATATATATTTATTGGAAATTATTTATAATATAAAAATGATATGAAAATGTTTTTTGTTAAAAGTGCTTTCATAAAAGTTATAACTTCCATAATATTATACTAATCAAAACCATGGTCCAAATTTTAGGATTTGGCCAAGTATTTTGGGACGGAGGTAGTAATAGCTAATAGTCTAACACTATTATTAATAGGCTGACTTCTTGTGACTCTAACACATTATGTGTGCGTAAGAAACAAGTTATGTTGGAGAGAAGGCACGAAAGATTAATCTCGGATGTTTGAAGTTGTGGTATTTGAGAAAAGAAAGGACTATAAATGGAGCAAAAGTTATTGTAGCATGTGAGTATACTGAGTATGTTGTGGAAGTCTTGAGAAAAGAGAAGACTATTTTTTCACCTATCTGCTCCATGAGACAATCAAGCAGTTCAAATATCTTCTCACAAGATTTAACATATTCAGAGGCACCAACAGACTTCATGAAAGTAGTCCCAGCTGGAGAGTTCACCAGAAAGTTAATTATGACTCTTTACTTCAGATCACTCCATCTGTCAGACATAATGGAACAGACGTAATTTCTCTACTGTTTCATGATTGCCTATAACTTGTCGGTATGTTCAACGGTTCCACCTCTTTTTTCAGTAGTGGAACTCGCATGGCATGATAAGTAGGAACTGGCAGATTTGGATCATAAGCACCAATGGCAGCAACCATATCTTCAAAGCTCTTAAACTTAACGGAGTTGAAGGACAAACTAGCTTGATGCCAAAAACGAAAAACGTACCGATGAACCTTGAGCACAACTTCTGTCTGTTACTTCTCTAATATTTGCTTATCTAAGTTTCTCATTCTTTCTTCTTGCTAGACAGCTTCTAAATTTTTAAAGAATTGATCAATAGGTCCCTTCTTAGACACATCATTTCTTGTTACAAATTGATCTCGTCTTCACTATCACCATAGCCTAACCCTTCAAAATCAACCCCTCTCACATTTAGAATATCCATGCTCTCTTCATTATTTTTCCGAGTACAAATCATTAGAAGAAGTAGAGTATAGGCGAGAAGCATGAAGAGTAAACGAGGACTAAACGATTGGGGCTAGGAGGGTTTTCCTTTTTATTTTCAGGTTAAGTAAAATACATGTAAATTGGATTAATTGTGACATAAACCACATCCCACCTTCATTGCTTTGCTATAGAAATCTGTCGATGCGGTCGTACATTCAGGAATACATGGTCCCCGACCTCAAACGCCACATCCCACCTACATTAATTTGCCTGCGTAATCATTTTCTGTTGCGCCTTTTCCAAATTACCCCTCAAATGACGCAGCAACTTGTCCCGTCCCCCCAAAATCTCTGCCACGGCTGCCTCCCGGCATTCACCCGGCAAGAACTGTCGTAAGGACGAAGGTGGCCTGCCATACGCCACTTCAAAAGGAGTCATCCCGGCAGCAGTTTGGTAAGCGGTATTGTACCAATACTCCGCCCAAGACAACCAACGAAGCCACTTCCTTGGCTGGTCACGTGTAAAACAGCAAAGATGTCTCCAAAACACGATTTAGCACATGTGTTTGGCCATCTGTTTCAGGATGGTAAGCGGAACTGTACTTCAAGTGGGTATCCGACTGCTTGAACAACTCTTTCCAAAAGGTACTGACAAATAGCGGGTCTCTGTCACAGACTATGGGCCCTAGAATACCATGCAACCGAATGATCTCTTGAATGAAAATATCAGCCACAGACCGATCTGTAATTGGTGTTTTAATGCGATGAAATGACCATACTTGGACAGATCCACCACCACCATAACACACATATACCCCTGAGATTTAGGCAAACAAGTAATAAAATCCATGGTCATGCCCTCTCAATTTCTCAAACTAAATCTAGAATCGGCAGCGGCGGTAGTAACCCTGCTGGCGACTTTGCTTCATATTTCGATTTCTGTCTGATCAAACATTTGCCCACATATCCTTGCACCTGACGGGACATGCGCTTCCAATACACACTGCTCGCTAATCGCTGATAAGTCCTGAGAGCCCCAGCATGGTCCCCTTTCGGTGTGTCATGAAATTCATGCAATAGTTTCGGAATGCACTTAGAAGTGGCTGCCAGCACCAACCTTGCTTTAAAAAACAACATGCCCTCTACTATTTCGAACCCCATCCGGCTGTCCGGGTTGGTCTTCAAAGCAGTCACAATGCCTTGAATAAACTCATCACACCCTTGTTCCTCCAAAACCTCTCGCATCCCTGCCCAATCTGGCATGCTCAGTACTGTCAACAACCCCTCATCAGCCCTTCTAGATAGGGCATCAGCCGCTGAATTGGAGACTCCTGACTTGTGCTCAATTTGGAAATCATAACCCAATAATTTGGCCACCCAATTCTGCTGCGACGGAGTCACATTTTTTTGCGAGAGAAGATGTTTGTGGCTGTAGTGATCCGTGCGGACAGTAAAATGACGACCCACGAGATATGGCCGCCAATGTTGTATTGCCAAAACCAAACCCATTAATTCACGTTCATTGGCTGATTTAGTAAGGGTGCAATCAGCCAACGATTTACTGAAATAAGCAAGCGGACGACCTTCTTGCATCAAGACCGCACCTACCCCAACACCTTAAGCATCGAACCCGATCACAAAATGACCCTTGAAATCCGGCTTGGCCAAAAATGGCGCTTTTGTCAGCGCGCTCTTCAAACGAGTGAAAGAAGCAGCTGCTTCCTTAGTCCAATCAAATACAACCGGGGCGTCTTTCTTCGGCAAGGCTGTCAGAGGCCGTGTTGAGTCCATAATTTTTTACGAAACAAGGGTAATAGCCCATCAACCCAAAAATCCACGCACATCCCGAACAGAACGCGGTTGTGGCCACTCGACTACTGCACAAACTTTAGAAGGATCCATCTCCACGCCCGCCGCTAAAATGATGTGGCCAAGTTACTCGACCTTAGACCTCCCCCTGAAGACACACTTCTTTCTATTGGCCTTGAACTGATTCTGATGTAAAATGCGCAGCAACTATGTCAAGTGTTCACCATGCTCGACTACTGTCCTACTGTAGATCACATTATCATCGAAGAATACCAAGAGAAATCTTCACAAGAACAGCCTAAATAAATCGTTCATCGTGAACTAGAAGGTGGCAGGTGTGTTTGTTAACCCAAACGGCATTACGAGAAACTCGTGGTGGCTACTATGAGTTCGGAAGGCCGTTTTAGGAATGTCCCGCTCAGCCACTTGTATCTGATGATATCTGGCTCATGGATCAATTTTTCAAAAACGATACAGCTCCAGATAGTTCATCTAACATCTCCAGAATTACCGGAATCGAATACTTGTCGGATACAGTCATCTAATTTAATTCCCTGTAGTCCACACAGAATCGCCAACAGCCCTTTTTCTTTTTAACCAATCCTTTTAACCGAATGATGCCTGCTACTAGCATGTCGAACACAAGGTTTTCAATCTCATCCTTCTGGCTATGTCCATATGTAGAAAAATGTAACATTTATTTGTTATTTTAATTTTATGTACATCCGGAACTGTATAGATAAGACTTAGAGTATATAGAGCTCTTTAACTAATAGATAAGCTCGCAGAATAGATAGATCCTATTATTTAGGATCTGTAACAACTAGGCTTTATCTGTAACCTGTATATATATATCATTGCCGGATGGCTCAATAATATTCAAGGAAGATTAATTCCTCAAACCTACATGGTATCAGAGCCTCGGTTTCAACAACACGATGGTAGACACCAGTGATGCTGATTCCTCACACACTATCAACCCTAACTCCCAAATTAGCCCTATGACAAATTACCAGTCTCCTATTCATTCATCTATGATAATCATTAGTCATAGATTGAATGGAACAAACTATCTGGAATGGTCTCAATCTGTCAGACTCGCAATTGATGGGAGGGGAAAGCTAGGTTACATCACAGGAGAAATCAAACCAAAACTACCTGCAGAAGATGGTTACAGTACATGGAGATCAGAGAATTCACTCATAACAGCTTGGCTTCTCAACTCCACGGAGCCCTTAATTGCCAAACCTCATATGTTTATGAAAACTGCAAAGGAGGTATGGGACTCTATTAAGGAATCTGATTCAGATCTTGAGAACTCTTCTCAAATTTTTGAACTCAAAACCAAGTTGTGGCAATCTAAACAAGGAAATAGGGATATCATTTCATACTACAATGAAATGGCAACAAATAGATCAATGTTATGGTGATGAAGAGTGGGAGAGTGCTAAGGAATTGGCCAGACATAAGAAAAGAGAAGAGAATGATAGGGTCTATATGTTTCTAGCAGGGATCAATAGGGACCTAGATGAAGTAAAAGGCAGAATACCGGGAAAAAAACCTCTGGCCCCAATCAGAGAGGTCTTTTCTGAGATCAGGTTGGAAGATAGCAGGAGGATGGTCATGTACAACACTCCAATACCTAATGAGGAACCTGGGGACTCTTCAGCTTTAGTGGCCAGAAGTGATGACAAGAAAAAACCTTGGTGTGATCACTACAAGAAATTGTGGCACACAAGGGAAACATGATGGAAACTTCATGGAAAACCACTGGGGGCTGGAAAGAAGAAAGTTGAAAGGGCCCTACAAACTACTGTGACTGAGACTCAACAAGAGTCAGGAGTTGAATCTAAACAGCTGCCTTTCACACCGGAACAGATAGAGTACCTACTCCAATTTACACCCACCCAGAAAATCTCCAACCAAGAAAACCCTTCCTGTTCTTTTGCCCAAAATGGTAAAATAACATCATATTTTTGTTCTGAAAAACCAAAAAGTACCTGGGTCATTGACTCAGGTGCAACAGACCACATGACCTACATTCCAAATCTCTTTTCTTCATATCAACCTTGTGCAAGAGATAAGAAAGTTAGAGTTGCAGATGGCTCTTTTTCAGCCATAGCAAGGATGGGAAATATTAAAATTTCCTCATCCATTAACCTTTCTAAAGTCTTACATGTTCCAAAACTTTCCTTCAATCTTATCTCTATTAGCAAAATAACCAAAGACCTTCAGTGTTGTGTAAAGTTTTATCCATCTTATTGCATTTTTCAGGATGTGACATCGAGGAGGATGATTGGCAGTGCTAGAGAGGAGGATGGCCTATATGTTTTTTATGAAGGAACACAATTAAATAAACAAGGTCAAGGAAAAACTTGTCTGCCAACTATTTCCTTTCCTTGTAATAATGAAGTGTATTTAATGCATTATAGATTAGGTCACCCAAGTTTTTCCTATCTAAAAAGGTTGTTTCCCAAGTTATTTCATAATAAAAATCCTTCATCATTTCATTGTGATATGTGTGCACTTGCTGAACATCATAGGAGCTCTTATATCCCTCATAGTTACAAACCAACTAGTCCTTTTACTCTTGTACACAGTGATATTTGGGGTGCATCTAGAGTTTCAACTTTGAAAGGAAAAAGGTGGTTTGTAACTGTAAAAATGTACAGTCGGATTAGTTGTAGATACAATACTTAGCCTTATCTGATGTATTTAATCACACGTATTACATAAGTATAGTTAGGTAGTCAGATCCTATTTTTTAGGATCTCATCCGTTAGACTGTTAGACTTGTATCCTATATATATTGTACCCGGATGATGGAATAAATCAATTAATCCTATTCTCCCAAACCTACATGGTATCAGAGCAGGTTGTTTAAACACCACAATGGTGGAAACCGAACACTCTGATTTTTCCTCCCACTCACAAACCCATCACCCAAACTCCCAAATTAGCCAAATGACAAACTACCAGGCCTCAGTTAATTCATCTATGCTCATTACTGGGCATAGATTGAATGGAACCAATTATCTAGAATGGTTATAGTCTGTCAAGCTGGCAATAGATGGAAGAGGAAAGTTGGGATACATAACGGGTGAAGTAGAGGAGAAGAAAAGTGGTGATGATGAGGTCAGAAAACTCTTTGGTAACAGCCTGGCTTCTCAGTTCAATGGATGCATCAATCGCCAAACCTCACATGTTCATGAAAAATGCAAAAGAGGTATGGGATTCAATTAAAGAAACCTATTCAGATCTTGAGAACTCTTCTCAGATCTATGATTTAAAAACAAGGTTATGGCAGTCCAAACAAGGAAGTAGAGATGTCATCTCATACTATAATGAGATGGTATCTCTATGGCAAGAGTTGGACCAATGTTATGATGCTGAAGACTGGGAAAGTGCCAAGGATCTGGCAAGACACAAGAAGAGGGAGGAAAATGATAGGGTCTATATGTTCCTAGCAGGAATTAATAGAGATATGGATGAAGTTAAGGGAAGAATACTTGGAAAAAACCCCTACCTTCAATCAGGGAGGTATTTTCTGAAATTAGGGTGGAAGACAGTAGAAAAAGGGTTATGAATAACCCTCCAGTTCATCATGATGAACCTGGAGAGTCCTCAGCAATGATTGCCAAAGGAAATGAGAAGAAGAAGCCTTGGTGTGATCACTGCAAGAAGTTGTGGCATACCAGGGAAACTTGTTGGAAGATTCATGGCAAACCACCTGGAGCAGGACAAAAAAAAGGTTGAAAGGGCCCTACGTACTACCACACCTGAAACTGATCAAGAGCAACAAGTCAATTTCAAACAGCCAATTTTCACCAAGGATCAGATAGAGCAAATCCTACAATTTCTCAATACCCAAAAGAACCCTACATCAGAAACCCTTCTTGTTCTTTTGCTCAGATTGGTAAAATTGCATCATTTTTCTGTTCTGGAAAACCAAATACCACCTGGGTCATTGACTCAGGTGCCACAGACCACATGACCTCCATTTCCAATCTATATTCTTCTTATAAACCCTGTGCAGGGGATAAGAAAATTAAAGTTGCAGATGGCTCTCTTTCAGCCATTGCAGGAACTGGAAATATTAAAGTTTCCACTTCTATTGATCTTTCTAAAGTCTTACATGTCCCAAACCTATCCTGCAACCTTGTTTCTGTTAGCAAATTAACCAAAGACCTCCAATGTTGTGTTAAATTTTATCCTTCATATTACATTTTTCAGGATCTAGCATCGGGGAAGATGATTGGCAGTGCTAGGGAAGAAGATGCACTCTATATTTTTGATAAAGGGACTGAATCAAATAAACAAGGTCAAAGAAATACTTGTCTGCAAACTATTACTTTTCCCAGTAATAATGAGTTGTATTTAATTCATTATAGACTAGGTCATCCTAGTTTCCATTATTTAAAAAAGTTGTTTCCTCAATTATTTCATAATAAAAATGTTTCACAGTTTTATTGTGATATGTGTGCACTTGCAAAGCATCAAAAAAATTCATATCTTCCTCACAGTTACAAACTTACTAGACCTTTTACTCTTGTGCATAGTGATATTTGGGGAGCATCTAGAGTCCCTACCTTAAAAGGAAAGAGATGGTTTGTAACAATTATTGATGATCATACAAGAATGACATGGGTTTTCTTAATCAAGGAAAAATCAGAAGTAGAATATGTATTTAAACAGTTTTATGCAATGGTCCAAACTCAATTCAATACAAATATCAAAATGGTAAGAAGTGATAATGGCCGTGAATACTTTTCTACAAATCTGAATCAATTTTTTGCTGAAAAGGGAATAATTCATCAAAGTTCTTGCATTAATACTCCTGCTCAAAATGGAATTGCTGGGAGGAAAAATAGGCATTTACTTGAAGTTACACGTGCAATCATGTTTTCAATGAAAGTTCCAAAATATTTATGGGGAGATGCTGTTTTACATGCTACCTATTTAATAAATAGGATGCCATCAAAAGTTTTAGGGTTTAAAACTCCAATTAGTATTCTTCAAGAATGTTACCCTACTACTAGATTGATTAGCACTCTTCCTTTAAAAAAATTTGGCTGCACTGTGTTTATTAAAAATCCAGACAAAACTGCAAGTAAATTTGATCCTAGAGGAATTAAGTGTGTCTTTCTAGGTATGTCATCCACACAGAAAGGGTATAAATGCTTTGATCCTTCAACAAAAAAGATGTTTATTTCAATGGACACTGTTTTTATTGAAAATCAAGTATTTTTTTATACTCATCTTCAGGGGGAGAGTTCAAATGAAGATGCTAACAATGTGTTACATAGTCATGACAATCTTGATTTTCTTGACATTAATCTAGATATGCATTCTATTGGAAACTTAGATGCATTAGAAAATGGTCAAAGTTCAGAAAATAATGAAATAAATACAACTGATAAAATGGGAGAAGAAGAGCTGCAGATCAGTAAGTTCTTTGGCAAGGTTTATGAGAGAAAGGCTCCAAATCAAAGAGAAGAGGAAGTCTCTGAACCTACATCTGTTACTGAGTCTGACCTGATGACAGTAAATGGAAAAGGTAATGACTCAACTAATCTTGATTTACCTATAGCTCTCAGAAAAGAAAGAAGGTCATGTGTCAAATATCCTATTTCAAACCATGTTTCTTATTCTAGATTATCCTCTACATTTGCAACCTTTTCTTCCATTGTCTCCTCTATTTCTATCCCCTCAACCATACAGGAAGCTCTATCTAAACCTGAGTGGAAAAAGGCTGTTTTGGAAGAGATGGATGCTCTTGAAAAGAATCAGACCTGGAAGGCTGTAGAGCTACCAAAAAACAAGCCCACAGTTGGATGTAGATGGATTTTTACTCCTAAGTTCAAGGCAGATGGCACTCTTGAAAGACATAAGGCAAGGTTAGTTGCCAAAGGTTACACACAGACTTATGGCATAGACTACACTGAAACCTTTGCACCAGTTGCATAGTTAATTACTATCAGAATTCTTCTATCTATTGCTGTAAATTTAGATTGGCCTCTTCAACAATTGGATGTGAAGAATGCTTTTCTAAATGGAAAACTTGAGGAGGAAGTTTACATGAATCCTCCTCCTGGGTTTGAAAGCAGGTTTGGTTCAAGAGTATGTAAACTGGAAAAATCTCTGTATGGACTCAAACAGTCCCCGAGAGCTTGGTTTGATAGGTTCACACAGTTTGTTAAAAAACAAGGATATAAACAGGCTCAAGCTGATCATACTTTATTCATAAAATGCTCAAATAAGAGGGAGATTGCTATATTAATTGTCTATGTAGATGATATTATCATTACAGGAGACTTTCATGCAGAAACACAAAATCTGAAGAGAAAACTTGCTACTGAATTTGAGGTAAAAGATCTGGGAGAGTTGAAATACTTTCTTGGCATAGAAATAGCTAGATCAAAAAAGGGAATTATTGTATCTCAAAGAAAGTATGTGTTAGATCTTCTTCAAGAAACAGGGATGAGTGCATGTAAACCAACTGACACTCCTATAGATCCAAATCAGAAGTAAGGAGATGTCAGAGATGGGGTTCCAGTCAATATGCAACAATATCAGAGATTGGTAGGAAGACTTATCTACTTAGCACATACCAGACCTGATATTGCTTTTGCAGTTAGCATGGTAAGTCAGTTTATGCATTGTCTATATAAAGAACATCTTGAGGCAGTTTACAGAATTCTTAGGTATTTGAAGAGTTGTCCTGGAAAAGGATTGTTCTTTAAAAAGAACCATAGTAGGGCAGTAGAGGCCTTTACAGATGCTGATTATGCAGGATCAGTGAGTGATAGAAGATCTACTTCAGGCTACTGCACTTATGTATGGGGAAACCTAGTGACTTGGAGAAGTAAGAAACAGAATGTGGTAGCTAGAAGCAGAATTCAGATCAATGGCCAATGGTATATGTGAACTTCTTTGGATCAAGAGATTGATCAAAGAACTAAATATGGAATTGGAGTTACCTATGAGACTCTATTGTGACAACAAAGCAGCTATTAGCATTGCACACAATCCAGTCCTACATGACAGAACAAAGCACATTGAAGTGGA